ATTGAACTTTGAGAAGTCCCGAAAACCCAAGCTGCCGAGTTGTTTGGACAGTGTTAACCTATTCCACTTAACCCACGATAATTTTCATTCTCCTTGTTTAGACCCCCAACCAGAATTGAGCAACAAGCTTTTTTAACTGATCGCAAACGAGTTGTGGAATTCGAAATAAGCTCATTAAATAAGTGGGCATAGATTGTATCACAATTTTAATAAGTGTTTCCCGACCCGCCGAAGAGAACTGATTCCGCCTCCATGATTGGAGTATTTTCCAAATTTTCTCCTTAATAGTCGCAAAAGTTCGATTCTTGTCCCGACCAATCATTGAAGAAAGACCCAGATAAGTATTGTGGGGGGCTGGTGAAAGAATTCCCAAGCTTAGACAAAGATTCGAACGCACCTGAGACGGTGTATTAGGGGAAAATGAAATCGCTGATTTTGCCAAATTAATCTTCTGCCCAGATGCCGCCTCGTAGGTCTCCAAAATATTGGCAATTGTTGTTGCCTCATCCGAACTGGCCTTCGCAAAAATAGTTGAGTCATCCGCGAATAAAAGGTGTGAAATCGGTGGACTGAGTCTGCTACATTTAAAGCCCGTAAGAGATTTTTCCGATTCTGCTTTGTGAAAAGCCGCTGAAAGACCTTCCGCACACAGAATAAAAAGGTATGGAGATAAAGAATACCCTTGTCGAAGTCCACGTGAAGGTCTAACACTTCCCACGAGATTCCCATTTATCCGAAATGAAAATTTGACAGTCGATATGCATTGCCGTATCAACCGACGGAATTGCGAAGAGAAGCCTTTCTTTAGGAGCATCATATCCAATAAATCCCATTCGACTCGATCATATGCTTTGCTCATATCTAATTTAAGAGCCATCCAATGGGGCCATCCTTTGCGTTTTTTGGACATTGAGTGAAGCATTTCAAAGGCGAGGATTGCATTATCCATAATAAGCCGATCTGGGACGAAGGCGTTTTGGTTCACTGAGATAAGAGGGTTTATGACCTTCTTTAGTCTCGCCGCCACAGCTTTTGAAATAATTTTATAGAGAACCGAACATAAGCTTATGGGCCGAAAGTCTGCAATCATATCTGGTTTTTTCTTCTTCAGAATCAAGACGATAATTGTATCATTGATACCCTCGAGTGAGCCACCATGATTGAGGATATCGAGACAAACCGGAAGAAGATTTGGCTTAATGAGCTCCCAGTGAGTTTGGTAAAAGACGGCGTGGAATTCGTCGACTCCTGGAGCTTTATACGGGTCAATACTTTTTAAGGCGGCATGAACTTCCTCTTCCGTGTAAGGATTATCGAGCAAAGATGTCTCCTCCGAAGAGATACACCCTCCTACCTTGTCCGTCATCTCTGAAATTTGCTTAAAAGTCGGACGAGAGCTGAAAAAGAGATCTTCAAAAAATGTGGAAATAAGCTCACCAATCTGTTGTTCGCTTCTTATCCATTCTCCCTGCTCGTTTTTAAGCTTATCGATTCGATTAGCACTAAATCTGGCTTTAGCCCGAGAATGGAAAAATCTTGTGTTACGATCTCCTTCCTTAAGCCAGTCGATTCGGGCCCTCTGTTTCCAGAAACTCTCTTCGCGGCATTGGAGTCTCTGAATCTCTATCTCTAGTTCTTGAATCGTGTTCATTAAATTCGGAAAATCTGGAGACTCATAAAGTTGTTGAAGGCGCTTCTCCTTCTTCTGCAAAATTTGCTTCCACCCTGAAAAGGACTTTTTGCTCCACTCCTACCACCTTTTTCTACAAGCGGACAGGCTCGAAAAAAACTTGAAGTTGTTCTGACGACGAAAAGGTGAAGACGGGCCTCTCGACCAACTCTCTCGAACAACATCAAAGTAACCATTTTCTTTTAACCAAAACGATTCAAATCGGAACTGACGTTTCTTTGAAACCGGCGCGTGGGCTTGTCTCGCTTCTGAATGAATAAGAATGGGCCTGTGATCAGATGAAAAGAAGGGAAGATGTTCAGTCCAAGAGTCAGAGAAGAGATTCAACCAATCGTCTGAGCCCAAAAATCTGTCCAAGAGTGCTTGAATATTCGCCGATCCTTTTCTCTTATTGTTCCACGTGAAGGGAAATCCTTTAAAAGGAATATTGTCCAAATGACAATCTGAGAGGGTCTGTTGAAAATCCCGAGAATAAGCTTGGTTCCGGAAAGCCCCTCCACAACGTTCCTCCAACAGTAAAGTTTTGTTGAAATCCCCTCCGCAAAGCCAAGGAAGATTCGACAACGGTTTGAGTCTACGAATAAGATTCCATGTATGGTGTCGATTCTCCGCCTTCGGTTGTCCATAAAAACCTGTAAATCGCCAACGTCTGAACTCATGATCTTCGATAACCGCGTCAATGTGTCCCACCGGAAAAGATTTGATGTCTACCTTCATCTATCCGACCATAACAACATAAGCCCGCCACTGAATCCCGAACAATCCACCACAAAATTTCCTGAAAGAGAAAGATGATAGCGAATATTATCTGCCTTAGCACCAGACAACCTAGTCTCAGACAGAAAGACTAGGTCGGGGGAAATTTTACAGACGAGACTCTGTAGCGATCTCAACGTACGAGGATTCCCCAACCCTCGCACGTTCCAACAAAGGCAACTCATTGCTCTCAGCAGAGGTCGCCGCTTCAATAATCGAACAGGTGTTGTCCTCCATAACTACATCCTCAACCACCCTTATCCTCTTGCCAGGACCCTCCAACGGAATATCCGAAATATTTTGAGTTGGTTTCCGCTTCCACCGTTTACGTTGTTCGCCTTTTGAGATACTACTCAACGTAGTTTGAACCAAACTAACTTTAGAAGGGGGGCACATCTCTTCTGCTATTGAATCCCTTTGAAAACCCTCTAGTTTACTAGTAGTAACCTCCGCAATTTCCTGATTCCCCACTGCCTTGATAGTATTTAGAACGTCCTGACTATCGTCAACTAGTTTTGGTATAACTGGAGAAGTCTCGTTTGGAATGGGACTCCGCTTCCCCTCTTCTTTGCTCACACTGGGGTCACTAGACTGTGGAGTGCTCTCGGCATTAGAGGAAAAAGAAGATGTGCGACCCTGCCGTCTTCTTAACCCTGTAGGAATAGCGCGCAACCAATCGCCATACTTGCGTGAAGTTTCACCTGAAAGGTCCCCCGACTTTGACGGGCACTCGCACATACGGTGCCCCACCAGACCGCAAATGAAATAGAATTCTGGGAGTTTTTCGTACTGAACTAGAATAGTAAACTCCTCTTTCATCGCCTCTAGAAACACCCGAAGGCCACGACGAAGCGGTTTAGAGACGTCAATTTTTCACTTTCACCCTGGGCGTTATGCCTTCACAATCCACATCAACTATCTCCCCAACTGTTGCCCTACCAAACACACACAATGGTCCGTGTGGCAGACCAACGGTAAATTTATAAGATGCACCCAAAATGGAACAACGTGAAAGTCCATCGTGCTAATAACTCCAGCCCCTTGTGGTTTAATTAAGGTAATTTGCTTATTGAACAACCATGGTCCACCATTGAATACTAGATTTCGATCTACTTCCGACCCAAAATGAAACCAAAAAATATTATTTGCGCCCTTTGTCTCGATCTGGAAAGATGACTTTGTCCTCCAAATGGAGCGCAGAACTGATTCGAGGCCGTCTCTACTCGAATTTCTACACCCGATAACCTTCCCCACCAAGCTTGTTGCAAGTCTAGCTGCCCCAATATCAGAGTCCTGTTTTGCCACTGGGACAGGAGGCTCATCCAACTCCAAACTCATCTTATCGCATAACTTGGAGATTTCCTCAGGATTCATGGACGGCTACCAAAAACCACCGAAAATCGCCCTTCCCTATGAAGATCCAGCGAACCCTAGATCCGAGCCCCAAAATACTATTAGGATGAGAACCCACCTCAATTACCTTCAAGAAAATGCAATAGAACCCTAGAAGCTTCTAGGCCCGAAAAGGAGTTGAAGAAATCGCCACACAAAACCGGCCTTGTCGGAAAAAGCAGACTAGAAGCTGCAATCGCCCAAATCGCTCGCACGGGAGAGAAAGGGAGTTTTTTTCGTATATCTGTATATTAATAGTAATATTTCAATACACATATTTCAACTTAATCAATTTTAATACCAAACATTCAATACTCATATTCCAACTCAATCAATTCCCAACTAAAAATCAGTTTACTTTATTATTATTATTATTTTTTCATCAGAAGCGAAAAGAAAACAAAATAAGCACATCAAATAAAATTTTACTCATTTCCAAATTAAAAATTGAAAATACATTATCTAGTATTTGTGCGGTTATTTATATAAATCAATTCCATCCACTCATTCTCTTGTAGGAAAATAAAATATATCACAAATCTAAGCCCTCCTTCTCTCTCTATATAAGAGCATCTCCAATGTGAGATATTGACTTAATAAAATGTTAGCTACATCATCAAGTTATAAAGTGATTACAAAAATTATTCTCTAATCCATAATGTTATGAACTCTTTTATGCTGACATGGAGAAAATAAATATCCAAAGTGTGAAACCCACTTTCTAGTTTTCCAAAGCGTGTTTGAAAGCCAACTCATAAAAAATCTAACCTATTTTAAGCTTTTGAAAGGAATGCATTGGAGATGTGCATTCCAAATTAAAGTCTTCTCTTTTGACATTCATATTACATGGATTTACATTCCATTCATCATTTGATATGTGTTCAAATTTAATTAACTTAGGAATATAATTCAATATATGTACACTTTTAATTTTTTTCATAATTAATATTTTTTTCCACTATGTGTTTGCAATAAAAAACAAAATATTTTGTAGTGAGAAGAAAAAAAAAATTCGAGTATGTCTTCGATATGACCGAAGATTATTTAACCTCATTCAATCAATAAAATCATTGTTGCGACTGCCAACTATCAAGTCAATACTCCAAGTGTTTGTTCGTCCCTTTGTTTTCTCTACTGTAAATCCAAAAGAAAAAAAAAAACTATGAGCGCGCAATCCGTGAGCGAAGAACACCTTGATGTCCTCACCAAGAATGGAGAAAAAACCGGCATCTCTAAGACAAGGTGAGTCCTTTTATTTATATGGGTTGCGGCCATTAATGGTGGGTTCTACCCATTTGTACTTGTTCTTGAAATTATAACTGATTAATCGTTCCAAGTAACCTTTTTTCCTTGTGGGCTTATCGATTATTGCTTGTATGTGTTGTTTTTGATGTTTGCTGCTTTGTTAGAGTGTTAGACCCAAAGTAAAGACTGCGGCTTTGGCGAGAATGTGCATTGGCTTTTACTTTTAGGTTCAAAGGAGCATTTACTTTTAGGCTCAAAGGAGCATCTTTTATGTTAGTTCT